CACCCTCCCTACATTACCCTTTACACTATGCCTATCCAAAAAACCCCAACCGAGTCACCCCCCAAGCTTCAAGACCTGCCATACTAAGAAAGCCTTCAACTAAATTCACACAGACCCTTCCCCATCTTCTAGTGATACCTAGAATTCAGACCAGCCCCAACAACCACAACAGGTGTAATCAACAGCTAAGGCATAGAAATGACCACCAGGGACAGGCTACAGACAAAGAGGCATCAAGGGAGGGTTTAGGGTTTTAGCACCAAATACAGGATAAAGGCAGAATCCCAATAGAACAGGCTAACTTAGGCAGGGGTGAAGGGTGGTACATCCTTCCTTCGAGAAGTAATCAATGTCGTCCTTCGGGCCCCCACACCATGAGGGGGAGGAGCGCGAGTGAGTACTAATTGTAATCCTTTCTGACTTGCTGGTGGAATAGGAACCGGACTGATGCTCCCCAAAATGGAAGGAGTCGGAACCATAAGGTTTTGTTTTGCAATAACCCGCTCAAAATATGCTTTTGTCGTCGGCCAAAGGGCCGCCCACAGGCCACAGCAAGGCCTGCGCCAGACAGTATCCCGACCAGGCCCCAAAATGAGGCTTCAGAGGCCCTGCGCCCGACAGTTGACTAAAGTCAATAGTAACTCAGTATATTGAGGCTCACAAGTCAAAGTCTGCACAGACCCAGTCCAGGCCACCGATCAGACACACACATTGGTTAAACGCAGGTATCCGGGCTGGGTCCAAATGGAAGTCTGCAACTGTATGAGATCCAGGCCATCGACTAGAAGTCAATCTGCACCCTCACATCCGGGAGAACAGAGGCTGGTCAACTTGTGACTGCACTACTTACTGACCCAGCCCCTGTCATCGACATTCAGTCTTGCACTTGCTGCTCGATGCTGGCTAGATGCTGGCTTGACGCTGGCACTATGCTGGCATTGTGTGTGACGACGACGCATGGCTGCTGCATTGCATGCTGGCGCCTCTCTGCTCTTGGCGCCAACTGGATACTTGATTGCTGACATGGCACTTGCCACATTGTCTTCAACACAGATTGGGGTATCGACAAGGAGGGAGATCAGGGCTGTGAGATTGGTTGTGAGAGAGAGAGGGAAGCTTACCTAATTGATGCTGTCGACATTGCGCGCTTCTATGACGTCTTCATGAGAGATCTGTGCCTACGTGGCACTATGCTGTGATCCGATCTTGCCAGGCTCGTCTCCGGGATACTGTTTGCTGACGTGGAAGACGGGAGACGCCCGAAGGAGGAGTGGGTTATGAGGAAGTTCTATCTACGATGAGATTGATGGACACTTTCTCCTCCACCCTCTAAGTCTTATCTCCCTCCTATCAGCTTCATCCTCCGGTTACGAGACATTGTACTTCAGATCACATTTCATGATTGTTGGAGACATTGACAAGCACTGAGATATCTTGTATTCCGATATTGACGAGTTTTCCTTCCAGACTGGGTTCATTACTTTTGTATTAAAAAAAAAAAAAAAGATGAAAGGGTGGGTATGGATGGAGAAGGAACAGCAACATTCAGAGAATTAATGGAAGGCCTCTGGAGAAGGCGTGCAAAGATGTCCCGAGGAGTGGGAGGAGGTTGAGCCAAAAATGCGTGGAGGTTAAAAAAAGGGTTGAGTGTGCATTGGGAGATGGCAAGGTTGAGAGACGGAATGCGACAACGTGCATTTGAATATGGTGAGGGAGGTTCACAGAAGGGAGTGTGGAGGTTCCTGCATCAGGGCATTTGGAGATATCACAGGAGATGATTGAGTAAAGGCACTGTAGGAGGTTAGGAGATGGCAGGGAACCAAGAGATGGTAAGCATGAGAGAAAAGAGATCATCAAGGAGAGCTCGAGAGATAGTGAGGACAAACAGTTGGAGAAGTTTTAGAGAGAGCATGGTTCTGAGAGGGAGTGGACAAGGTCAGGTGGTGGAGCGTAGGTTTGGAAACGGCAGGACAAGGTTTGGAATTCACTAGGGAGCAGTTTTCCGGATTTCATTTGGGAGCAGATTTAGAAAGGGCAGGGCAAGGTACAATCTTTGTAAATAGCGTGTTTGGGAGCAGTCGGAGCAGTGGAAGTGTCATGGAGGTGGCAAGGGAGGTCCAAAGCAGGATGGTAGGAGGACTTGAGATGAAAAGACAGTAGGATGGGGTGCAAAGAAAGTCATGCATGTGTATGCACACGGACACAGTCATGTAACACACACACACTGTGACATGCTGAGCCTGCACACGGGGCCCGACGGATGCTGGGGGCACCCAGGCCACACGCCCCTCAGACCCGCGCACTGGAGGCCCACTGTCGGCCTTAGGGCCGCAGGTTTCGATTTGAGGCAGCATTCATTTATTTATTTATTTGCTGTCCTATGTTTGTCTGTTCAGGCGTCGTTTCGGACTTGCAGTTCGTCCGAACAGACTTTCGGCCTGTTCGGACAAGGCCACGTTTTTGGCCTGGTACAGACGTAGGCAGGCCCTGTTGAGCCAGGTCCATTTTCGTCCGGTAGTGGACACTCCCTGCCGCATCAGCAGGGAGGGCCTGGACGTCCGGTAGGGACCCAGGCAGGCCGTTTTCAGGCCAGGACCAGAGGCACACGGAGGCACACCTGCGAGGCCCAGCGTTAAAGCTGGGCCATGCCTGGGCAGACACACAGTTCGAGTAGCTCACTTCTTGGGCAACACGCTGCTGGAGCAGCACGACAGTGCTACGCTAGAGGTAGAGGTGTAGGTAGGCAGTGAGGCAGAGGCCATACCTGCATCGACGGAGATCTTACCTGGGCGCCATAGCTGGTCTTCACGCTAGCGCCCTGCAACACAGAGGAGACACGCGGCGACAGTTAGTACCTGGCGGCAGTTACCTGCAGGTGAGATAGCGAGGAGGACGACATCTTCTTCTTCTTCTTGCTCTCGCCCTCCATCTCTCCTCCTTTCTCCTTCCCTCTTCTTCTTCTTCTTCTTCTTCTTCTTCTTCTTCTTCTTCTTCTTAAGAGAGAGAGATTACAGGAAGAGGTACATCGGGCATGGAGGCCAGGATCTGATTCGACATTTTGAGGCAGACATTGATTGGACATTCGGCTGGGAGACTATTTTTGCCCCATGAGCGTGTTCAAGGAAGGACCTTTCTTCCATGTGTACAGTCCCTCCTCCCTCTCTCACATGTGTGGTGTATGATGGGTTGTCGCTTCAGTATCTTACAGGTCAGGTCATATCTTTGAGTCTTCGGCTGCGCTACATTGTGCTATTTTCATATGTATCTGGATGTACATTACTTGTTGATGCTTTGCTGACGCTGCATTGTCCATTCGAGTCCTTTTCATCACTTCACGGCTCCTTGGCTTCACATACATCGCTCAACCGAGCATGTATCACACACACACACACACACACAGACAGCGCGCGCGCGTGCGAGAGAGAGAGAGAGAGAGAGAGAGAGAGAGAGAGAGAGAGAGAGAGAGAGAGAGAGAGAGAGTTAAACAGATCTGAACTTTCAAGCACACGTCATCATACGATAACATGATGAACAAGGAACACGATAACATGATACAAATATTTGTGAATCTAGAAGTTAGGGCGCAACTAACATGAAAGTAGAGACAAGACAGACATTCTCTGGAAGAGGACATTTGCAGATCAACGCGACCCTCAATGCCCGCACCCAAGGACACACCTGTTGGAGAACTGGACTGGGATGGCAGTACCCCCGGTGGCTTGGAGCTTCTTTGATGCCTCGACAAGGATCGCCATGATTTCTGTCTTTCTTGCGCTGGCAAGCAGATAGTCATACTCAGAAGGGACAATGACTGCAAAGAAGTTGTCATTCAGTTCGCTCAGGCAGAGCATCTGAATGTGTTGCAGTCCAATCCGTCTCTTGAGCTTGTACGTGTGGACATCAAGAACATAGAATGCCTGGTCTGTAATAAGCAAAATGCGTTTCCACAGCTTCGCATTCCTGTCCACCTTGATCACTGTATCCGTAAACAAAACCAGTTTGTCCCCTGTTCAACAGCATCAACACTAACACTCTCAACATCAGCTTCAGAACCCTTCCTCTCCTTTCTTGTCCTTTCTTTTACTTTTGTTTTCTTACTTTTCTTTCTTTTCTTTCTTTTCTTTTCTTAATCTTTTTTTAGCATGGAAACTTTTTTGAGGTTTAACTGCTGTTCCAGCCAGACTGCCCCAGGGCGAAAGGCAGCGAACCTTCAGGCTTCAACATCAGCATCAGGAGGGAGGTCCCACTAGCAACGGGGATAAGGATTAACAAAGGATTAACACAGATACAGCAGTCAAAATGTTAATAATGTCTCCTCCAGTTCCCTCTGCTTATAATCACCCCAAGATACAGTGTCAAAATATGAACCTGGGAGAGGATACCTCTCTCTCTCTCTCTCTCTCTCTCTCTCTCTCTCTCTCTCTCTCTCTCTCTCTCTCTCTCTCTCTCTCAACTCAGATACTAGTCAGTGAAAGATGATGTTCTGAACAACAGCAGATGGCAGAGTGAGGCCCGGCTATCGCCAATACGCAACCCCCAAGCTATGGGGCTCAGGTGAGTCCTCTTCAAAGTACCCGCTGCAGACCCCCACTCTAACCAGCCAGTCCTTCTACCTTAACTAGCGTTAAACCACCACTACCTTTCTCAGTGTTGGGGAAAACGGGAATATACATCACACTGCATTTTTCAGCAGTCTGGACAAGGCTCGGCCAAAAGGAAATGTTTGGGCCCTAAGGGCCCTGCAAGGCATAGGCCTCGTTAAGCCCTACTGGGCCCCTATTTGCAACAGGTTGGCCGCCCTAAGTGAAGGCAGGTCCGACAGACGACAAGAGGCCTATTTTTGACTACTTCGCAACTGGGGAAAATTCAGGCAGTTGCGCAGCGCCAGTTGGTTGAAGGCACCCAGGCCCTGGCCTCCTTTATCGACTGTATCTAAGTCAGGCCCTGGGTGAGATACGCAGCATAGGCCCAACTCAGACAGCGGGCAGTTGGGCACGGGTAACTGTCGGTGGCCCTGGGCCTGATTCATTTGGTCTGAGACTCAGCCTCCCTGGGCCTACCGGAAACTTCTGGGCAGGGACCCAGCGCAGCCAGGCTGCACGCAAGCAGGCTGGCCACTTCCATTTAGGAAAGGGCCAGCCTACGCATTGGACATTCGGGCACTGGCTGCTTTGTGCGCAAGCGCTGCTGCGCTATCGCCTGCCAGGCTCACACGCTCACGGGCGAGCTGTAAGGAGCAGGCAGCCATAGCCGAGCTGCGCTGCTGTATGCTGGATGGGGTGCATGGTGGTCCTTGGGTGCAAGTGGCCTCTCTGAGTTGGGGAACGAGGTTGTGAGTGATATGAGAGACATACCTGGTGCTTGATGCGTGCGACATTGGCCGAGGTCTGCTCGTACTTGGGAAGCTGTTGACGTCATCAGCGGCATTGTAGTCTAGGCTAGATAGGATCTGCCATTCGTAGTCTGGGCGCCGAGCGCCAGATAGGATATCAACATTGGTTCTTCGATGAGACTATTTCGGCATTGTCAATTATGAGCTTTTGGTGTGCTCTTATTTGGTAAACCTCGTGATGCTTTTGGTTCGAGGTCACGACTATCTGGTCTCACATGTATGATGCTGTTTGATTGCTGAAGTTCGCTATTGCTCATCTTCCTTGCAATTTGGTATCGGAGTTGTGGATCGGTGCGCTAATCTGGCGCTTATCTTCTGCCTAATGCGGTACATGCACGCGGTGTGTGCAGTGAGCGACCGTGCCGTGGGACGTGTGTAGTGAGGAGGGCGAAGGTAAGTAGGCGACCCAGGTGGAGAGAGGTTTGCCAGGAAGGCTAAGCGGTGATTATTGGGTGTTCGCAGTGTGATGAGAACTGTCCGGTGTGTGATTGATGCTGAAGTGGAACGGTTGTGCAATGCTGGTTGTGCCGAAGCAGCGACTGGTCATCACAATCAACATCGGGTCATCTGGTGAGAATATCTGTGGTTGGGGGCAGCTATTTTGAGGTACGTTGCACCTAACCTTATCTACCCTCTTTGACACTTCTTACCGTGAGGATGTGTGTTCTGTCTTTCGAGTCATTTCATGTGAGGAGTCGTGTGCGCTCAACCTTGAGAGTCGTCAATCTTCATGTGGAGCATCTCGAAGGAGAGAGCGGTGCTATCTGAAGGGCCCTGGACGAAGCACTGGGTCAAGGTCACCATGCCAACCCACCGGGAGTAGAGCACGCATGCTTTGCTGCTTTGTCCTTTGTCTGCTCGCTGCGCTGTAGAGGAGTTCTGAAGGGCAGGCCAGCCCTATGGGATAGACGAGACCGGGCGTTTATAAATAAGCACCGGCGGGGTACCTTCCATTGGCTGTGATCGTCATCCTGTCTGCGACGTTAAAGAATCCCTGAGGACTTCGGGGGCCGTCCATATAAACGCCTCCTGATCAGCCAATCGGTCGGTGTAAGGCTCGCTGCACGCGAGGATAAAGACTGTGCAGGGCTGGCCAGCTCAGCAGGACTCAGGGCACAGGGGCGGGCCGTGTGCACACCTTTAGACACGCTTGCTGTCCGGATTGCTCAGGGACTCTGGCGACAAGAGACATTCAGGAAGAACTGAGGGAGCGGTAGATTCTGGGCGACAAGAGACATTCAGGAAGAACTGAGGCAAGATTCCATTCTGCAAACAGACCCAACAAGCGATTCTATTTTTATCTTTGATTAGTTAGATGTACAGCCATTGACATCTGACAGACAACATAGTGTAGACTTCTTTGTTCATTGTGCTTCTGTTTGCGAACTAGTCAAAGTCAAAGTACTCTCGTTTGTAGGAACCTGAACTTACCTGTTGGACCCAAATGTATATACCCTCTGACGCAGCCACCGATTAATTAGTTTAATTATAAGTCGGTCTGTGCACTACGCTGCGGTAAGCATCAAAGAGTGTCTTAGTGCAGATTGTGTACAGTTATGTAGCTTATGAGCGATAGGGACACCACTAGTGAGGACGATCGGATCTTGCGATCGACTAGACGCCCGATAGCCCATTTGGCCTTAGGACCAGAGGGTGACAAATTTCTGTTCTGCCAGCTTACAGAGAGGCAGCAGCAGCAGAGAAGAGCTAGGGAAGTAGAGGCAAGCAGAGCATTGGCAAGCGAAGCCGCTACTTCAGCAACCATGGCCACTGCTGCGCAGCAAAGTTCTCAGGCTAGTGGTTCAGGTTTTGTGGGGTCAACGGTCGCACAGACCGTGAGTCAGTCCACCGGTGTCATGGTAAGCCAGCCATTAGTGTTGACTCCCGAGGAGGTCGCCATACAGCGAGCTGCTGATCGCAAGGACAGCTACAGAAGGCTTTAGGAGAGATTAAGGCCGAAAAATAAAGAATGAATAGAAGAAGAGCCAGGTTGCAGCGGCAACAAGCGGACATTAGCGAGTTAGAGGAGATGGACCCAACGGAGTTGGATGATGAAGTGAGGACCCTGAGGTCGGTCTTGCTAGGAGTAGTAGAGATGCAAGATCAACAGACGGCAATCTTACAAGACATCCAACAGAGTCTGGCCATGTTGGTCGGGCGAGTGCAGGCGACACCATCACTGTCCGGGCCTGGTGTCTGGCCCGTTGTACAGCCTCCTCCTTCTGTCCCACCGGTGACTGGGTATCCCCATATACCGCTCCAGCATGGGTTCAGCCTCTCCCTTGGTATGCCTTTAACAGGCGGGTTCTCAACAGGTCCTAGTTTGCAGGTTCCTGTACAAACAGTGTTATCCCAGCCTCCGTCACAGCTTGCTGTAAGCGGGCAGCCTGCTGTCTCGCAGCCTGCACAACTGCAAGGTTCACAGCCCCAGCAGATAGTGCAGCGGTGCAGTAGAAAAGGAAAGAATGAAGAAGGAAATGAAAGAAAAGTTAGAAAAATTGCAAGAAGAACTAAAGACTATAGAGGAAGAAGATGAACCTGCTGATGACAGGCTCATCAGGCGACAGACAAATAGGGGGGAAAGTAGCCAGACAGGTGGAGGGCTTCAGGTTAAACCGCTGGATTGGTATGATAAGTATGCCTACTCCAGTGACCGGATTGAAGAAACGGAGGAGGAAAAAGATACGTTCGTTGTGAAACTGGCGTCCATTGAAGACAAAAGGGAAAAAGAACTCTTGCTGGAAGAAAAACGAGCAGAGATGCACACTAAAATGTTAGCAACGAAGCGACAAGAGCTTGAAGAGAGAAAAAGATCGCATGCAGAGGGGAAAAGATTGCAAAGGGAATTACAGGCGCAAAAAGAAAAACAAATAGCAACCGAAGAAAAACTTGCCCTCCTGATAGAAACAGTCCTCCATACAAAGCAAGAATTAACAGCAATGAACAAAACTTTGCAGAAAGTTGAGACCCACCAATATGAATTTGAGGGAGTCAAGAACACTTTCCTGCAGAAGTTCGCAAAGGATGTTGATCAACATGTGCAGTCATATATTCAGATATTAGATGATCACATCAATCAAACCTTCTCTCTCGCCGTAATTGAAAAGATAATTCGCGGCAGCGGAGGAGGAGGAGGAGAAGATGGAGACGGAGATGGGGAAGATGGAGACAAGAAAGGAAAGGGAGTGCAGCGAGAAGAAAGTAGGGATGTGAGAAAAAATGAAGTTAAAGTGTCGTGGACTTACACAGGCAAGAAGGAGGAGAGTGTCTTACATTGGATTGATGTCGTAGAGTCCTATGTATACGGACAGCGCATTCCGTATTGGGACAGAGTCTTGATGGCCACTTCATGTATGGCCGGCAAGGCAATGAGCTTCGCCATATGGTTGCAGAAAGAAGCTAACTGCCAAACTATGATTGAATACTCACAGAAAACGAGAATTGAAGATTTTTTCAAAGCTATTAGAGAAAGATTTGAAGATAAAAATTTGGCACGTAGAACAGAAATGTTGATATTAAACATTGCGGAGCGGGAATGGACGAGTGTGTTTGCACTCAAAGCAACAATGGATGAACTCCTACAATGTGCTGAACATGGACTCACTCCTACTCAA